GGGGAGAATCCCCTAGACATTCCAGACAACCACAGGCCAATGAACAGGACAGGAGGCACAGCTGTCCTCCCTGGAAGTGACAAGCGCCGAGAGTGAAATCAGAATACTGCAACCACACAGGAATGAGCAGGCCAGGCGACACGCACGGCGGCTTCTGCGTCTGGGAGGAGAGGGACTTTCAGGAGGAGAAACGTCTCCATGGCCCTGAAATGTCCTTCACAGGCCATTGGTTGAAATGGAGAAAGCTTCCCTTGTATGGTGGGGAACCAAGCACCTGTCCAGTGGTCAAAACCAGCATCACCAGCGAGGGACAGACGGGGCCACATGCTTCTGGACAGGGCACCCGCGGACTTAATGTACCTACCTCGTGTCTTGGCTAAGAGCCAATACTCCAAATCTATTCTTTAAAAACATCCAGCAAACCCAAACAGACAAAATCCTATTTAATAAATAGGAGCTAAACTCTAAAAGACAGAGAAAGGCTGGAGCAACAGCTCAAGGAGGCAACAGAGAGGCGGCAACTCCATGCAAAGCCACACCCTGGCACGATGCTCTCATGAGCAGAGAAAACCTTCCAGAGGACGCTGCTGGCTCGGATGACGACACAGAGATGTGAACAGCATGTAGACTTAGTGCATCCTAGTTAAGTTTCCTAAAGGTAATGACTGCACTGAGAGAAGACTGTATTCGCTCAAGTACACAGCCGGGTGTTCAAGGAGCAGAGGCCATGGTGTGCCTGGCTGACTGCAGCTGGCGCAGGCGTGCCTCTGTGTGCCCGTGCTGGGCACAGATGGGTGTGCACTGGGGATGTGCGTGAGTACACAAAAGACAGGACCACCACACCCTCTGCTGGTTCTGCACTTAGGGATTCAACCAATGGCTGATCTTTTGAAATTACTTTTAAAAAAGTATATCAGTGCTGAATAGATTTTTCTTTTGTCATTATTTCCTAAACAAGATGATACACTAATGACTATAGTCATTACAAGTGATCTTATATGTGTTATAAGTAATCTAGAGATGGCATAAAGTAGGTGGTGTGTGTGTGTGTGTGTGTGTTTTATGCACATTATTCTAATATATATCAGGGAATCAAACACCTGCATGTTTTGGTGTTCAAGGGTCTTGGAATCAGATCTTAACAGATGTTGGAGGACAAGTTCTGTTTAGATACCTATGTCACTGTCCACGTCCATCTTTATACCCGTCTCTATCTCTATTGAGACAGGACAGATAATTGCTAAAGCAAAGGGATATACTATCAGCAAGTTGAGAACACGGGTAAAGGAGACAGGGTGTTCCTTACACTGATTTTTATTCCCTAAGTTTAAAATTATTACCAAATAAAATGTTGAAACAGAAAGCTGCAGACTGCTGCCCTGGCATCTGAGATGTGGGTTGGAGGCAGGACTGTGCTTCCTACGTGCCTGTACCTCTAACAGCCGGGGCCACGCCAGAGGAAGCGCTGCATCTAGGAGAGTGGGCTGTGGAGCTCCATTCTGCAGGGGGCTCTGTCGTGTGCAGAGATCTCCTCTCCATCTGTAGCGGGGGACATGCACCCTTGGGGCTCGGTGACTGCGGAGCAGGCACAGGACAGGTCTGGGAAGCTCTACTAAGGCTAGATCAGCAGCTAAGTATGGGTACTTTTCAAGGGCCCAAGCTTTTGTTTAATGAAAGCACTTCTTTATGTTTAATGCTTTCTGTGGATATACATATAGACTATACTTAGATATCTAGGGTGTGAGTTCTTTAATGGTGAAACTTCCCAAGGTTCGCAACCCCTCTTAAAAAGAAACTCTTCCATTTTTAATTATTGTAAAACACTGTGAAATGATTTTAGGTCACAGACATTCATGCAGAATTCTAATCACGGAAGCAGTGGGTGTTTTCCCTGCTTGCCTGGTGGTGCTGAGAAAGAGCCTTATGAGTCCCATCCATCAAGGAGGGAAATCGTTTTGGCTCATTATGGTTAGACGGAGGAAATATTCTTATGCTTTAATTTAGAGACATGGCTCCAACAGCAGAGGGCTCAGTTAATATCCTGAAACAAGATTCTCCAAGCTTGCAGATTCGGACTGGGAATGCCTTACGGCTGACTTCAGAAATAGAAAGCTCCATTATTAATGGTCCCCCAGAAGCTCTCTGCTGAGCAGGAATGAGGCTGGTGGTGAAATTAAAGTAAAATATTAATAAAATTGACTTCAGCACAGTCAATAATCAGTAATCAAAACCAACTGCACTGCAGCCAGGGAATCCTATTTAATCTGCAGTTTTCCTGGTTGCATATCCCAGTCCCCCCGGACCCCTTGAAAGTGCATTCCAGGGCTGAGGGATTAAGACTTGGCCACTACTAACCAGCTTCTTGCAGCTGCTGAAGAACTCGGGGTCAGAGATGGGGTCCATGAGGTAGGAGCGGATGATGTTGGCTCGTAGGCCTTTCGGCGCCTCGTTGGTCATCTTGACTCCGTTCTGCAGCACAGACACGGGGAAGTTCGGGGATGGGTAGCTTGTCAGCCAGATTCGGAAATCAGGGTGCGTTGATTCTGGGCTCAACTCCTGGAAGAGAAAAAATCAAATGCAGACGGCTAAGTTGATAAAGCCCCCAGAAAAATTTCAAGGCCGTACATGTAAGGGACAGGCTAGAAGGTGGAGGGAGCATTTCTACACGATACAGCTACCACTGGTGAAATTTTCAGGAAAAACCCTGAAAAGCTGTCTCTGCCTCACAAGCAGCACACTTCGTGGTGAGGCCTGTGTGCTGTCTTTCTGGACAAAGTTAATTCCTGTGCTGCAAAGTTTACACAGGTGCTGGCCAGCTCAGAGTTAGCTAAAGTGAAGACCAAGGTGTCCCCCAAACTCTTCCAGCTGCACGCATGCTGCTAACGTACAGAAATCATTCTCTGCCCAGAGGCGGCTTAAGACTCAGCCCTTCTCCTTGCTATAGCTGACTGTGAAGCTAGGCGATGCACTGAGACAAGCTAATGCTAACCAGGAAGAGCTTTTTAAAGGCTACGCTTGAGGGCCAGAAGCCCTGCTGTCCTGAAGCACCAAGCTCGCTAATACTGTCAGCGCTGCTTGCACAAGAGCTCTCAGGGCTTGGGCTTGAGTCACAAAGAGGAGCAGAATCTCCCCAGCACTGCCACCCGAGGCTGTGCAGTCACCCAGTGGGCGCTTGTCCTGCTTCCTGGCCAGTCTCGCTCAACTGTCTGCATCAAAGGTGTCTGTGTTTCTTGCAAATTACATATCTTTATCACTAAAAAATTCTGTGCACTCATTTGGTGAAGGAGTGGGAATGAAAGATGTATGGATGCTTAACAGTGACAGTGAGTTGGGTGGGGTGTGTGCGAGAACATGCTTTCTTCTCTTTCCGGCTGTCCTTAAGCAAATGGTTCTTGGACCGTGAGCTAAGTTCACGCTCCCTCGGGACAGGCTGTCTCCTGTGACTCGGGGTGCACAGGTCATTGGTCAGCAGGTCACGAGACCCCCCGGAGACAGGCTCAAGGGCGAAGCCTCCAGTGGAAAGGACCAAGGATGAAAAGGGTGTCGAGGCCAATAAAAACCGGGATCCTTCTTCAGGCAGGAATGACATTCAGCAGGGCAGCCTCTGTGCTTGGGACAATGAACTCCAGCTAAAGAGAAGTTAGTGGTGGGTGGGTTCCAAGATCAGGAGAAAGTGAGCCATGCAGAGCTCAGGGGTCGGCACAGGCGGGGCACTGGGGTGGTCGGAGCCAGCCAGCCAGGCCGCTGGCCTGTGCCCTGCACTCAACAAGAAGCCACTGAAAGGCTTGGGCAGGGAGGTGCTTCTCATCCGCTAATTTAGTAAGTGTTTCTCAGTCATCTCCAGTGGTCCGGCACCAAGGTGGTCGGACGCAGGACGGAGCAGAGCTCTGAGACAACAGCACCAACTCCAGGGTCAAGCAAAGGGAAGTGGTGCCGTGTGGCCCGCAGGACAAGCCCATTGTCCCTGATGTCTCTGCCGTCAGTTGGCCCATGACATTGTGTCATGACCTTGGTGACTGAGTGGCTGTTTACAGGTTGTTTAAGAAGGGAGAGAGAAGGGGCTAGAGTCACAGCTATTTCCCGGGACACATGTCCTCTGCGTGTGCCGTTGCCATGGAGGGCCAGGGGGTCTCTTTATTGCACTGAGCCATGTGGAGTTTTCCTCCAGATATTTCTGCCCCAAAAGAGCAGAAGTTGTGAACCCTACAGAGAGGGCGGGAAGAGCGAATGACACTGACCTCCATGGCAGGTGAGGGGCAGAGGAGCGGGGGCCCCCTCTGCAGGCTTCTGCTTTATGCTGGCTGCAGGGACTTGTTCTGTCCTCTGTGTATCCCCACAAACCCCAAGCTGGCTCATGACTGCCCCGTGCCTGACTCCATCTCTGAGCCCTCCCTGCAGATGACCGGATTCCCACCCCTCCGGGTGAGCCCTCACCCAAAGAGGGCACTCAACTCTGTGCCCTTCCTGCTCCTGTGGACAAAGTTCTCCACAACAGCTGGGGCCAGCGGTGTGACTGCAGGAACCCCAGCTACCCTGCAGACTTACCTCACAGACTTTCTCAAGGGTCGGCATCCAGGAGGTAGCCAGGTGACAGTTCTGCAGGACCACCCAGGTGCCCTCCTTTATGGCTTTCTCTACCATCTTCATCGCGATGGGCCCCTGGCCTTGGCCCAGAGATAAAGAGCTAAGTTTTGCTCCCCCGTACCCCTGTGTATGAGAAAAATATAGGCATCATCTAGCACCCCAGTTTTAGAAGAATCAATACTGTCCTACAAAAACTGTTAACATTAACTATTAAAATGTAATTATGTACCATACTGCAAAGCTTCAAACCCACACAGCTCTAAAGCACTCTAAATTAATGAACACTTAAAATGAAAAGTCAACTCACATAGGAAGCAATCATGGTACTAAGTGGAAAATTCTGCAGGGCCTTTGGCTGTTGGTATATGAATGAGATAAAAAAGGTTAAGAAAGGGCTGGCCAGATAGCTCAGTGGACTAAGTGCCTACATAAGCAAGCACAGTGCCCAGGGTTCAATCCCCAGCAATACATGCTGCATCATCCCTGTCCCCAGGCGTGCTGAGCTGGCCACCAAGACCGGGCGTGATGGTATAAGCCTGTGATCCCAGTGCTAGGGAGGCTGAGGCAGGAAGATCACTACGAGTCTAAGCTATGTAGTGAGACCCTATTCCAAATATATTATAAACAAAACAAAAAGTTAAGAAAACTTTCAACACAGTATCTTGTGGCAAGCCCTAAAATGCAAAGCTGTAAAGAAAACTGAAGAGACAGATGAACTTGTCCTGTGTCTTTAGTTTCTTTGAATATTTTGGAAGGGCCTCAAATGACAGCAGCAGTGGATGAGCAGGGTCATCTGGCCTCTCAATGCCTGTGGCTTTGTCCCTGGACCAGGACCTAAACAGGTGCTGTCTAATGTGGAGGAAAGTGAGGAGCTGGAGTGTGCTCCCGGGGTCACTGTGCCCACATTCCTTTGGAGAAGTCGGTCCCACATGACTTCACCTCCACGCCGCCCCTTCCTGGGCCATGAGAGCCGTACCTACCACTGCTCCTCCCTGCTTTCAAGCGTCCCCTAGTGGTGGCCTGTTTCCACTCTGCACCACTCAGTTCTTCACACTCCATCAAGGGTAGCTTTATCAGGGTCAGGTTACAGCGTGTCCCTTTGTTACTTAAAACCCCAAGGTATTCTCCCACCCACAGGACTTACTCCAAGTCCTCACTGCAGTCTACACAGAGCCCTGTCACCATGGACCTGTTAATGGTGACATGTCAGTTCCATGAGTTAAGAAGCACCTAGCACGTTAGCAGACATGGCCCTGGGCTATCTGGGTGGGTCATGGAGGTCATGGGGACTTTAATCTGGTCCATCCCTCCCCCCAGGCCCCTTGGCTCAAGTGCTGCTCCCCTTCTGCTTCTGCTTTGCCATGAAACCAGCCGGCCATGGCCGGAGTCCCCTGAGACCATGAGGTACATAAACCTGTCCTCTGTTAAGCTGTGGGTTCTGGGGACTGAGTCACAGCAACAGGGCAGCTGCCCAGGGTGACCTTTCGTCTTCTGGTCCCTCACATACCTCAGACTTCTCCAGCCATGACAGCTCCATTATGACACTTAAGTAAACCCCAAGTAGTGCCATGCTAGTCAGTCAGACCTCTAAGATGAAAGAATTACACCCAAGCAAGAGAAGGGCAGCTATGAAGGCTGAAGTCGGCCATGGGGACAGTATTTTGATCTGTAAGCTGATGACCTCGAAGAGCCACACTGCTGCTCCATCCTTCGGGGTCCCTTCTCTGCAAGGCACATGTCACCACTCACCACCCAGCACTCTGTAAGACTAAGAGGAAACGTGTAGAACAAGGTGGGGCGAAGTCAACAGAGTAGGATACTGTGCGCCCAGTAAAAGTTACGGTATTGATTTTAGAAACTCCAGTAGGTCACCCCAAATGGCACTTTGATTGTACCACTGGGGGAAAAGCTCAACTCAGACATGCCACCAGCTGGTCAGCATGACACCAGAGCGTTGTAGTGAATCCATTCAGATAACTTTTCAAGTCTAGAAACACTGATAGTAGAATGTCTTCATCTGATGGTGAACCTCGTAGACCTTTCAGTGGTAACAGTTAGCTGCAGCACGTGTGCTGTGGGTTCGCTCCCACTGGACAGTAGTGGACAACTGTCCTGCAAAGTGGAAGGGGCTCCTTTCAGAGGTGGGAGGGGTCAGAGTCACAGAGGACCACCCCAGGCTCCCTGAGAGCTGATAGAGTCCTTTGTTCCAAAGTGGAAGAGAAACAAACATTAATTTGGATAAGGAGCTACTTATAAAGGACACCGTCATCAAAGTATCATTTTTCAGGGACTCCATCCACCTCTGGAACCCCAAGGCATTCCCAGGCTGAGTGACAATGTCTGCCTTTTTCTTACCCCTTCAGATTTCAACCATAAACAAACGGTGCTTTTGGAAAACCTAACAACATCAGATGACCTCAGCTGCTGTGCGTACCTGGTCATCCGCAAACCTGAGGAGTGCGGCCATGGGGTCCGCCCCAGGAGACAGCACGAAGATCAGGGGCGCGCAGCAATGGCTGTCCCCAAACGCTTTGGACAGGTCAAAGGGGGGCGGCTCAATGAATGCACGCCCCAATTTGTTGATAATATATTCCTGCAACATTGGAATAATCTGCAAAATGACAAGAACACACGTCAAAGAGCTTTCAAGTTGCCCTTAAGGCCGCAGGCAGTTCAGACTCCAAGCTCATGGTCTAGCTTAGGGCTGCAGAGGGGTCGGGAGTGAAAGTGTCACTGTGCACATGAAGGTGACAGAGGAGGGGCTGACGCTGGATCAGAGGCATTTTTCTTCTGCTCTAATGACTTCTATGGGCAAGATAAATGAAGAAACTCTAAGTTTTAAAACGCTATGTTTCTGGGTCGTGGAGATAGCTCAGTAGTGCTTGCCTGGCAAGTGGAAGGGCCAGAGTTCAATCCCTGTTTCCACCAAAACATAAAAATAAACAAATAAAACACTATGTTGTAAAAACTCACAACACAGAGATAGGAATTTCATGTAAGTTCTACAGTTTTTCACACCCAAGAGAGGACTTAGAGGAGGGGGAGCCACGCAGCCCAGATGTGGACGGCACCCCACTGTCTGGCATTTCTCAGAGTGGCCAAGTTATCTGCTACAGGTGTGAGACAAAACAGGAGCCTGGGGCTTGGGGACAGCTGTGCTCACCGCAGGGCTGCTGAGCGTGTGGCCTCAGCTGTGCCACCTTTGCGGGTGAGGGTCTGCCCTGGCATCTCAGGGTGACAGAGCCAGCCAACCATTACCCAGGGGTGGCTGGAGAGCACAGCAGAGGTGGCTGCCCCGTCCCATGTCCGTGTCTCCTTCAAGAATCACGAAGCTAAGCAAACCTGCGTGCTCTTCCTCCTCCTGCCTCTTTCACGCTTCCAGCCACTCTGTCAGCAAGGAGCCCAGCGCATTTCTTTTTCCTTTCAGTCCTGGAGATGGAACCAGGACTCTGGGCTTGCCGGGCAAGTGCTTATGCTACTGAGCTGGCTCCCCAGCTGCATTTTTTTAAAAAATAAAATAATTCGTAAGATTTTTATTGAACACCTAATGTGAAAGACATCTGCTTTTCTAGAATCTTTGCTCTGGCAGTTTTCAGTACTTCACGGGGGCCTCACAATCTGTACATAATAAAATCATGGGTGACAAACGGTCCTTTCTTGTGGTACTGAAGACTGACTTAGGGCTGACGGAGCCACACCCACAGCCCACACACTTATATCTTTCTAATTGATGTACATTATTTTATATATTTATAAAATTTTGTAGACAGCGTCTCCCTAAGTTAGTCAGGCTTGGCTTGAACTGGCCATCGCAGTAGGACAGGCCACTGGATCAGGAAAGGCTCCTCGCCATGCTGGAGGGAGCAGTACTGTGTAAAGGCAGCAAGGCAGCCGCCTAGCTGTGCTTGCCCCGGCCTGCTCAGGTGCCTGCTAGGATGGGAGGGCAGCACGGCGTTGCCTATTACGGGCAGACTCCGGCTTGCTGGACCTCTCGCAATTATGGGCCTCAGGGGATCAGAGGTCTGCAACCCAGATAACTCAGCTTATCACCCTGAAGCCAATTTCAAAGACACAGACAGATTTACCTTACAGCTTCTTTAAACAAAAGATTCTGTATCCTAACCCTAAAGTATCCTGCAATAGGTCACAGTGAAAGAAAAAGAAAAATTATCAGGAGAAAAAAAATCTGCCCATGACAGAAAACAAGAAAACATTCCTATAAGCATTAACAATAAAAACAAATAAAGCAAAACCAAGCTTTCTTTTCACCGCACACAAAACTCACCAGCTCATGTAAGATAACTTGGTAACTCAGAAAAGGAGCAGAAACAAATATCCATTTAAAAGAACAGCCTACCTAGACAACGTGGGTATTTAGTTTTTTGCATAGTTTAACTTTGCAGGCCACCTTAGCCCGAAACTCCTGGCTTCTCTTCAGGAAGCCGCTGCAGACCCAAGTACTGTTCTACCGTGTGGTTGCTGAGGTACCCCCTTTAAGAGAATAAAGATGTGCTTCTTAAGATACAGCCCTCCATAATGCCTTCTGAAGTTTGCTTTCTCTTGTTGTAACTCAAAAATGAGGCAGGCTCAAAAGTTTAAAAAGCACTTTATTTTAGCTGGTACCCAGCGGCAACACTCGGCACAAAGTGCCTAAGTGCACGCTGAAGGGGGGAGCGTGGGGTTTATAAAGCTTAAAACCACAAAGCAGGCAGGGGACAACTTGAGGTGTTCAAAAAGACATGGCATCTGTTGAGACTAGATATGGTTATAGGTCTGGGGAAGTCCTTGGAATTTATGGGTGCAGGAACAGCAGTTGACATTTTTTGGAACTCAAGGGTAGGGTGAGGGCTTGGGAAACAGAAGTTCTGTGAGATAGGCACACATTTTACAGCAGTTGACGTGGCTCACTAAGACGGCGCATACAGAACAGGATAGCGGCGCTTTGGTCACTTGTAACACTCTTTTCTTCCTCCTCTCTCTCTCTCTCTCTCTCTCTCTCTCTCTCTCTCTCTCTCTCTCTCTCTTTTAGAGACAGGGTTTTAGTATGCAGCTCAGGCTGGCCTTGAGCTCACTTTGTAGCCCAGGTTGGCCTCAAACTTGCCAGGACCCTCCTGCCTCAGCCCTGCAAGTGCTGGGAGTACAGGCATACACCA